ACTTTTGAAAACTGTATAGGCACACAAGAAGAGTTCCAGAGTATAGTGAAGTAGCCAGAAGAGATAGAGAATGGCTTGATAATAGGTATATGCTAAGAGTTACGAAGGCATCCCTGGTTTGTGCTTTTAGGGTAAACTATAAAACTCGAGATTTTACGGCTGTTAGAAGGTTTAGGCTCGTCTGATGTTATGCTGTGAAAATTACTATTTTTTTCGGCCTTACTATAATTTATTTGTTTGGATTACTTTATTATTTAACCACAAAAAGTTCTTTGCTCTTCCTCTCGGTTTGTTTTAGTTGGGTTATCGTATGATCTAACAGAAAATAAGTAGTCTCCCCAAAAGAGATTCGGGCGAACTTAAACCTTTCAAAAGTGGCATATCCAAGTTATATGGTTTCCCGAAGGAGCGACCAATATTATCAACCAACTTTGATGTAATATCTGTGAATTTACATACATTGGAAGAACAGGGCAACCCTATACATACTAGGGTAACAGAACACTTAGATGCTGTTTTGATTAACCAGCAACTCGACAAATAGGATAATTGCACGTTTCTGAAAGAAGGTTGGACGTGGGCTCGAACAACCTTAGAAACACCGAATATTTTGGGCGAGAGGGAATTAGTAGGGATTATAATGTTTTGTATACTGTCTATGTTTTGAGAAGATAGTTAATATAGTTAAGTCTAGAGTATTCGGTACGGAGTTTTTTGGTTCTAACTGCTAAACTTTGTATATGTGTAATTATGTATCTGCTATTTAATGGAACTTTTCTAATAATACAGCAACAAGGTACTGATCAACCGCCACGTAAGGGAATTCGAACTGCTTTACGAAGTATTCTGACTTTTTAATAACCTTTTTTAAACTCACAATTATTTCATTTATTGTAATTATTACGAAATCTCCCTGAGGAAGTTGAAAAGCGATGCATTAAGTATTATTAATATCTTCTCGTGAAGTTTCGTCACCGTTTTTATGTTATTTATTCCAAATCTCATTAGATATCTTCCTATTAAAATTGTTTATATTTTAAGATAGGTTTTATGTTTTAATTTTAGTTGTTAATTCCACTATCCTAAAACTCACTAGATACCCTCCAGTTACACTTCTTCAGGTATCGACCATTTTATTCAATATTTTTAGCAAGTATTCCACCATTACGAACTTCATTAGATACTCTCGAATTTCAACTATTTAAGTTTTAAGTGAAATACCTTTATAACTTAAACATTTGCCAAATAATTCAATTTTATATTGCTTTGAGTTAGTTTGATAACATAAATACATCTTCACTTGGATTATTGATATTCGTTGTAAAATATTACTGCTATTATTTTATTACTTTCTTTACTTTATGTTTTTATAATTTCTTGTATTTGAATGTTTTTAGTTTTATGGTATATAAATTGTTTTAATATTTTACAATGTGCTTATTAAGTTATTTTGCTTTCAAATAAACTCATCAAAAATTTAACTTAGTGATTTTTAAAAAGCAAGATAAATACTACATATACGTGCAGAAAGAAAAAGGAATAAAGAAATTAAGATGACCATGCAATTTCATGCTTCATTGTGGTGTAACTGCACTCAAACGTAAGTAAACACATCGATCATGCCTGATAAAGACAGGATTTTCAACATCAGTATTACAATCAATTTGATGCATGAGGTTTCCTTGCTTTCCTTCACAGGCATATCCTAGTTAACTCTGCAGCAAGTTTTTGTGTTTAAAATATTTATTCTTAAGTACTAGCAATTCATTTGAGAAGATACCAACAGCTTGGTTACGTGACAGTTAATGTTCTAAACAGAAGCACTAATACAGTGTATAACAGGGTGTGAGCATGTAAATAATGAAAAGACTACACACGGTTTGTAAATCCCAATAATAATTCCCAATGCATCACCATAACGACCTATCTCCCAAAAGTCTGTTGATGTTAAAATGATAAATAAAATAACAACAAGAAATATCAATAGAACTTGATTTTCCCAACAAAGTTTTCGTATGTTACAATACATTTCAATTCTTCGTGAAGTAATTTTTGTTTTCAGTTCAAATAGATGTTCTGATTGGAAGACCCAGCCGAGAACTATTTTGGCGGTGATAAACGAGCTAGTATGTTTTGTATGCTGAACCTTAAGCTCATGTAATTTATAACACGATTCAACTTAACACAAAAACTTCAACATTCAGAGTTTGATGCGGTTTTTAAAATGTAAACTTATTTTAATTATACCTTCATTTTTTTTTACATCACACCAGGGTGAAATCGGCCCTTTTTCTATATGTTACAGCATTCTAGGGTGAAATTAGTTTTGTCTTCTGTCGTTGGATTTTGTATTACAACATTCTAAGATAAAATATGTCTTTCTGCTGTGTTATAAGGTTTCAGAGTCAATGATACTTGAATCAAAACATTCCACAAACTCATAGGTTGTGTTACAACATTCTGGGCATCAGTAAATCCTGGGTTGAAACATGTAAGAGTCTAATAGAACTGTGGTTCTTGTGTTAAATATTCTAAAGTAAACCACATTAGAAAAAAAAAAACGAAAATCAAAGCGCTTCCGAGAGGTAAACTTGTCGTAATCGCACGTGATTAACGAGTTGCGATTTATATACTTTCTTAATTCCACGTGATTTCTTAAAGTCATGAAAATATTGGAGGAATAACAATGAATTTTTCTCTGTGTTAGAAAGTTCATTGCTAAACAAATCTACTTTTCTGTATTACAACATTCTGGAGTCAAATTTGTCTATGTTTATGTGTCCAACATTTCAGGGTTAAATTGGTTTATATTTTTTGCTGCAAATTTCTGGGGATAAATTGGTCTGTCTTTCAGGGTCAAATAGGTCTATATTTGTCTATTACAATATTCCCGGGCCAAATTGGTTAATTTTTTATGTGATTTAATAATCTTCCAAAGTTAGATATATATATATTTCTGTATTACAGCATTCCAGGATTAAATTGATCTATGTTTTTGTATCGCAACATTCCAGGGTTAAATTGGTTTATGTTTCTGTTTTGCAACATTTCAGGGTTAAATTGTTCTATATTTCTGTGTTCGAACATTCCAGGGTTAAATTGTTCTATGTTTCTGTGTTGCAACATTCCAGGGTTAAATTTTTCTATGTTTCTGTGTTGCAACATTTCAGGGTTAAATTGGTCTATGTTTCTATGTTGCAATATTTCAGAATTAAATTGGTCTATGTTTCTATGTTGCAATATTTCAGCGTTAAATTGGTGTGTGTTTTTATGTTCCAGCATTCTAGGGTTAAATTGGTCTATATTTCTGTGTCGCAACATTCGAGGATTAAATTGGTGTGTGTTTTTATGTTCCAGCATTCTAGGGTTAAATTGTTCTTTATTTCTGTATTCCAATGTTCCAGGGTTAAATTGTTCTATGTTTCTGTGATCCAACATCCCAAGGTTAAATTGTTGTGTATTTTCATTATTCAGCATTTCAAGGTCAATCGTATTTTATGTTTCCTTTCATTTCAATTAAGTTAAGTTTAGCTTCAGTTCTTGCCCCCCCGTGACACAGCGGTATGTCTGCGGACTTCCAACGCTAGAATCCGGGTTTCGATACCCGTGGTGGGCAGAGCGCAGATAGCTCATCGTGTAGCCTTGTGCTTAATTACAAATAAACAATAAACACGCTTCAGTTCTATTATTTGTTCGTCTGCTATCGTATTTAGTGTTTGCATCTTGTATTGGAGCCTCTTCTACCATCTCTAGACTATTTGATGATTGATACAAATTAGTTAAACGATGAATATGTTTTCAGGTAGCAATAGCGTCCGTTTTATGATTAAATGGACGCAGGAGTTGACGACCAGCTATCGCGCGAGTTGCAGGGTGAAATAATATTTTTGACTGATTTCGTGTTGTTCTGATTAATAAAGAAGCAAGGGGCTCAATCTTTCATCGCGCCTTTATCTTTTACCTGTTACAAGGATATATAGAAAAAAAATTAGTTTTTTTTTTTTACGTCCAATGGGAATCTATATTTTAACATTTTTATTTTCTGTAATTTGTAGAATATGGCATACCACATTATCCAATATCATCTTCAAAGGTGAAGCAAAAAAAAAACAAAACCTGTTCTACAAATGATCAAACTGACATGATCAGCCAGAAAAGAAGATCTATCATAACTGAAGAGTAGAAACCGTTCGTTTGTATCATCACTGCGATGATTGATTTTTGATACACTCGATGAATAAGAGTTCTTTTTTGTTTTCTTTTAGTATTGTACTTGAACAGATAGAGGCAATTTCGTATCGTTCCGTGTGGGAGTTTTAACAAGTTTTTTTTTCCCCTTACGTTTTAACACTAAACATGTGTAATTTATGAACGTTTATCAGTTTTGGGGAAATATACTTTGAAAATGTTTTTATTGCTGCCATTCCTTGAGCCAAAAATGTATAGGAAGAAACGTGGATTTATTTCTACATTGAATATTTCATGAGAAACGTTTTATAGTGACATAATATTCCACGCATAAATAAAAAAAATCTATCATAATATGCAAAAAAATATACTGTGTATACTGAACACTGTATTCCTATCATCGATTACAATGAAAAAATATTTTGCTCTGAAACAACATTTTCTTAAGGCAATTTAAACTTAACACTATATACATAAATGAACTTATCTAACGTGGAGAAGTTTGACAATTTGGTGGTGTCTTTCTACAAAGTGATTTAACACATACATTCAAAGTGATTATTAGAAGTGTATAAAAACAGATGAATGTTATGCTGATAATTTACTGTAGTAATTACCTTGTTTTCTGTTTGTTTGTAATTAAGCACAAAGCTACACAATGGGCTATCTGTGCTCTGCCCACCACGGGTATCGAAACCCGGATTCTAGTGTTGTAAGTCCGCAGACATACCGCTGTGCCACTGGTGGCCCTTGTTTTCTGTCTTAGAATACTAAATTATGCTTTAGTCTATATCACATACAGGCAGACCTACCTACATAAAATGGTCTTCAAACGTTGAATTTCTCATAGTCATAAGGTTGTTTCCCTGGAAGAAAATAAGTACCTTTATTTATAAGGATGAAACAAATGAACCAGACGGTTCTAATAAATAAATAAAAGTTTACTAATCAAAGGAAGTACACTGTTATGTAAAACTTAAAACTTATTTATTTTCGGATATACAGAGTATAATATTTATGGTTACAAAGTTTCACCTGGTGATTGTGGCCATAATATATTATACACTGTATATCCGACGATAAAGAAGTTTTAGATAAATGAAATCATGAACTATATCTCCAGAATGTGTCTTTATTAGCTCAATATTTCGCTTTTACAGTTTCATCATAAGCGATCCGTATCCTGTAAGTTCACTAATCCAGTTGAGTGTAAATCGGAACACTGTCATTCGAAAATCGAACATCGATACACGTGTTTAGAAAGTTAATATTATATTAAAATAATATCAAACAGTCTTTTTTATAGAAATGTCTCGTATTAAACTCCAGTTTGCGTTAAACAAAGTTAAGAATAACACGTTTTAAATAAAGCTTTGCTGTTTGTTTTCTGTTTATCTTTTTCTTTGTTTACCAGATATAATAGGAATCGAAGACACCTATGCTGTGTATCCTTATATATATGTTTACGTTCAATGACTAAATCACTGTCATGTTCCCCAACTGTTTGGAAACACACACACAGTCAGTCACACAGTAAATATCTACACGTGCTTGTTATAGTTATAGGGATAATAGTTTGTTTGTTTTGGGGCAGAACCACTTTGGGTTATCTGCTGTGTCCACCGCGGGGAATCGAACCACAGATTTAAGCGTTCTAAGTTCATAAAATTATCGCTGTCTCACCGGGGGACAAGGATAACAGAATCTTAACACTATTAGTAAGCATCCGACTACCGTATGATTGAAGCGAGAGCACAGTACACGCAATCTTTATCAATGTTAGTTTTAAGTACAAAAACTTTACTTTTCTTATAGATCTAAAGATATGGTATGTGTTCTGATGATCCTGCAACTCAGGACTATAGAATGGTCATATTCATTCTTCTTACGGGTTAGCACGTGTATAAAACTTCTTGTCTCTCAGGGGTAGGCTGAAAATGGCTTTAGTCACCTAACTCGATAGTTGTACTGATACGATAAATATATCTTTCTGTTTTTCCACAAACCCCGGTCTCTCTGCGCTATTTACTTGTCAGTTTCACTTACTGGTGGCAGGTAAGTTTATTGTATTAAGAACGTATTCCTGCAACATAGTCACTATATATACGCTTCAAGTAGCATTTTCAAGCATCTAACTGTATCATTTCTGACACTTACTTCCATTGGACTCGTAATTACGTTAACTGTTCCTGGAATTGAAAACTTTTTAATTTATATTCTCTGGACTACTATATGTATAGCAGCATTCTTTTACAACTGTTATTCCATATTAATTACCAAATGTTTTTATACGTACAAAAATTTATGTTATTTGTAGTAAACTATCTTCTTTTTTTTTTACTGGAAGTTTTCACGTCAAATCCACGGAGGTCCCATTCATTTGTTAATGATTCAATGTATAATTTTGTTTTAAAAAGGGATAATTAGTACAAATATGAATATTTTAATCTTATTTCTCTGCGTTAATCAGGAGCTGAGTGATATTAACTATATCTCCATTTTAAAATATTTTTATTTCTATTAATTCGGTATTAAACGATCTGAAGTATAATATCATTAGGCTACTCAATGTTGTCTCTCTTATTAAAGTAACAAATATGAACAATAAGATCATTTTAGAAAGTTTATAGAATGAACAAGGTATCTCAATCAACAATGTCAGTGAAGTAACTAAGACACAGTAGATAGTTGCACAACATCAGCGGGTTAACTAAAACAATGGGTTTTCTTCACAATATCAGCAGAGTGGTTAAAACACAGGGCTTTCTTGACAACATTAATAAGTTAATTATAACACGATGGTTCTTTTGTTAACATCAGTGGGGTAAATATAACACAGGCGTTCCCTTGACAACATCAGTGGATTAATTAAAACACAGGGGTTCCCTTGACAATATCAGCAAAGTAATTGAAACACAAGGGTTACCTTGACATTATAAGCGGAGTAATTAGAACACGGGCGTTCACTTAATAACATCAGTGGGTTACCTGAAACACGGAGGTTTCCATGACAACATCAACGGGTTAACTGAAACACGGGGGTTTCCTTGACAATATCAGCGTAGTGATAAAAACACGTTGGTTCTATTGACAATATTAGCGGGTTAACTGAAACACAGGGGTTTCCTTGACAGTATCAGCGGTTTAACTGAAACACGGGGGTTTCTTTGACAGTATCAGTGTGTTAACTGAAACACGGGGGTTTCCTTGACAATATCAGTAGAGTAACTAAAACATTGCAGCTCCCTTGACAGCACCGTCAAAGTATTTAAAACACCACAGTTTACTTGAAAACATCAACAGAATTCTTAAAGTATGGTAACTGTGAGTATATCTGATAAATGCTTTGTATTTCTATAAATTTTTACTAGTTATAAGAAATAATGTTTATTTTTCTGAAATCAGTCTTTGATAACAAAAATGCTGCAAGCTCCTGCAAATAATATGAGAGTTTAATTCGTAAGTGTGTTGTAGACCACTAATAACTTTCATTTCAATCTAGCATTTTGTTTAGCTTATAACAACATAGTAACCATGCATATGTCAAAACAACCCACCAAAAAGTCTATAGAGGGTTTGTTTGTTTGTAATTAAGTACAAAGCTACACAATGGGCCATCTGTGCTCCGCTCAACACAGCTATCGGAACTCGGTTTCTAGCGTTGTAAGTCCGCAGACATACCGCTGTGCCACTGTGGGGCTCTATAGAAGGAGGAAAGAGTAAAATTGTAACATATTAGGCAATAAAACTTTTGGTGAAGTAAAACGACTCAAAACTCTATAGATATCCAGTTTTTGCTCACTTCATTTCAAAGGAGGATGTAAATGTACTTTAGTAGACATTTTGTACAATAACATATTAAAAGGATTATCAAAGTTCTTAAAAACGTCTAACATTAAGTTGTAGAATAATATTATAAGTTTATTTATTGATAGTGTTAAGTACGGTAAAGTTTAAGCCTAACCAAGCTAAAATAAATGTACGAAAGTTATAGTGTTAACTGATCACTTTATCGAATATAGACCGTACTTAATAAATGCTTAACTAATGTTAGACCTAAGACAAGTGGATTTTAGATTCCGGTATCTACGAATAGAATTCTTTTTTTTATTTTTCTAGAAATTCTATAAAAAAGTACTTTTGCAATAAAGATATTAATTTGACCGCAAATGTTTTGCGGATTTCTGCTAGTGTTGACTGAAAAAAAATTGTCTTGTGGCCTCAAGAAGGATTTCCCCTACCCTCTCTTCACCTGTTGTATTATATTTTGTAAGAGCTATATATTAGTTTATGTCATTGAAAAATATAATGCATTGCTATTTTGGCGAAGCTTTAACAACCTTGCTAACAAATTAACTATAAGAAGCTATTTCAAGTAATCTCTCCAGCTCTCTCTTAGGTTGTATAAAAATTAATTATCCTAATAATTCTTTGATTGCTTTCACTCTCGAAGTACAAATTGGCCAAGTATAACAAGTTCTAGAGACGTTTATTACAACACGTATTTTCATATTATGTGTAATTCAATTTGAAAAACATTTATATGGTTTAAAAGTGGAGTGCACGAGAATGATTCAATAAACGGATTTTTTTGTTCTTATTCTTGATGTCAAACTATTTCTACATTACTCTACAGACTATATCTCTTATCCCTGTAGTGTCTATCTCACGCAAGGTAAGGAATTATGGTTCAAAGGTTAACGAGAGAAAAGAAAAAAAAACACGTGGATCTTCAGTGCGGTTCATGATTTTCACGAATGGATATTCCAGTTTGATCGTAAAGGGTTAAAACTTATTTAGGTAGAGTTTTAGGTTGAATTAAAAGCAATTCGGGATGTGTTGTTACAAATTTACAGCAAGATCGTTACTATTTAATTAAGATCGAAAATGCTATGTCTATATAATTTAAAGGAAGAGATTTATTGTTAAGCATTTAGATTTTAGCAACATCGGGTACAAGTTCCATTTACTTCCTTTATTTGTTTATCTTCTTAATTTAGCAATTCGATTTACTATGAGTAACGTGCGTAGGCCATAAAGTAGAATTTTGTTTTGACCTGTTAAAATGGCTGTGTAGGGTGATTCTTTTTTCCTGAGTAACGTGCGTAGGCCATAGAGTAGAATTTTGTTTTGACCTGTTAAAATGGCTGTGTAAGGTGATTCTTTTTTCTACGAAACTAAATTTCGTTTCTTTTGTTTTTTGAGAAAACCTTCTCAGACATGTGTTTCCAATGTCCTTTCTTGAATGTTGAATGTATTGTGGAACTGATTGTCGTGTCTCACTGATACATAGAAGGACTATTTAAATTATAATTCTTCTATCATTCCTTCAAACCGATATTAATTTCGATCGTTTTTAACAAAAGTGGTGCAAAAACAACGAACTTCTTTGATGGTGTTGGAGTTTGTTGAAGGACTGGTAGTCATTAAGCACGATAGTGCTTAGTATGTAGGGATGGACCGAGAAAGAAATGGCCACCGCATTCAATCAATTACTCTATGATGCTTACAAGTAACTGCTAAACTTGAGTTATAGACATATTTGAGCACCTAATTACCCCCATTGTCGAGTGTTTTACAGCTTGTGAAGCTCCCAAGATGATTGAAAAGTGTGCTTAAGTGGAGAACTGGGAACTAGCTGAAGAGCCAAAGTGTTCAGCATTATTTTCCTTTTTCCCACGCTAACCCAAAATGTGTGAAGTTTCTCAATGGGTTCAGTATGATAGAAAAGAATTTTAAGAGTACTTATGAACAGGCTATCACTAAGCACGGTAGTGCTTAATACAAGCTAAGGAACAACAAACAAATCATAATTCTAGTGTAAGCGATGCTATCATTACCCCTGAAGTTAGCTTTCTCACAGAAA